CAGGTTATAAGGCTCTCGATTTTATATTTTATCAACCACAACAGAATTGATATAAGTACCCTAAGCACTGCTCATCAAAGCACCATTTGTACTAGAGCGTCACAAATTCATCTAAATGCTATATGCACTCAAACCTAAATACAGTATGTACTCAAACACAACAAATCTATCTAAGTGCCATATGGGCACTGCTCATCAAAGCACCATCTGTACTAGAGCCTCATAGAATTCATCTAAATGTTATATGCACCCATCCTGAATACAAATATGTACTCAAGCACAACAAATCTATATAAATGCCATATGGGCATTGCTCATCAAAGCACCATCTGTACTAGAGCCTCATAGATTCAGATGCACTTGTGTTAAGTACATAAATGTATCCAAGTACACTATTTATCTAGGTGGCTCATCAAAGCACCATTTGTACTAGAGCCTCATAAATTCATGTAGGTGCCATAACACCTGCTTAAAGTACACAATGTATTCAAGTACAAAATTTAAGAAAAAATAAAATAAAAATCAATCATATTATATACATGTGTCATATGCACTATTAACTAATACATGTGTGAATTCTAATTACAATGATTTTTGGTGTTGAAAGTCTACATGTATAATGTTACAATTATAATAAAACTCAAGAAGAAGACCCAAGCTCTGTAAATATTCGCAGTATTTAATTGCCCACCTAATTTGCTATGATAAGGATTGATAAATAAATTTATCTTAGTTGTACTCATGAACCCTAGCAGACTGTCTGAATGACCGTTAAAATTAATGTAATATGCAGCTGTGTTTTAATTTGTTAGGGTTAAGGTTGTTCAATAGTTTTATCTTAAATGTTTTTATAAACCTTAGCAGACTGTCTGAATGACCGTTAAAATTGATGGATGATGCAGCTGTGTTGTTACTATCATGACTTTCAATTACAAGCCGTATAGTGTATGAGTTTGTTTATTTATCTTCTGCTCCTATGTGTGGTCCCGATTTGATACAAACACGCGAGAAAGTATCAAAGGAATATAACGTGTTCTGTTATAATAAAAACTGTTGGGATATAACACTCCGGTTAAAAGACCCTCGATTTTAATATAATTAATATTGAAACAAATAATTCTGATATAATATACCATAGTTACATAAAACTATTTGTGGCATATAATACCCAAGTTATACCCCCAGTTTTGAAAGAAATTGAAGATTGACTCGAATTGTTCTGTAAAAGCATGTTTATGGGTAATTTCCCTCGAACTTAATAGCTTTAACAAATAAATAAATAAATAAAAACCTGTCCATAATATACTATAGTTGCGTAAACTATGTGTGGCATATGATACCCAGGTTATACCCCCAATTTTTGAAATAAAATGAATAATACAAAAGTAATTGACTGCCATTTGTCACTATATCAAATTGGTAAATTCCCGAGTAATTTTCCTATAACTTAATAGCTTTCAACAAAATATATAAATAAAACATGTCCAATACTTAACTGCGATAAGCTGTCTTCTTGTATTGCCCTTCTAGTGTTTCGAAAATATTTTGGTATACCAACACCATAGTGGAACGGAACACCATCAACATAGTTATTGCGATCCTAAGTGAAATTATGTTAGGTCTTTCGATTATGAATAAACGTTCCCAATCTGTGAACGTGTAAAGGTAGCACGGTAGTATTTGCATTCCGGAATTTAGGTTGCTCTTTTGTGTACCCTACCTAAGTCAATGTATTTGAACAGTGTGATTGGACAAAAAATACAGTATCAACTGAACATATTTTCCCAAACTGAGGGATGAATCAGGTGTAGAAAAATATGAAATAATTTTACATACAGGTGAAAATGAATTTTTGAGAATTTTTTTAAATTTTGTATTCACTGCATGATAAAAGACCTAAAAGCACTAGTGGCCTTAGGTTTTTAAAGATAGCAAAAAAAGTAAACGGTCATGATACATATTTAAATTCATTTCTGAAAATTATAATGAAAGTACTTCAGTAAACTGTGTATATAGAATTTTGGGCAGTGCTAGAAAGTGGTGAAAAGTTTAAAAAGGCTATCATTATCCCTTATGGGCCAGGAAATACTACCGTGCCACCTTAACTGGAATATATATGTTTACAATAAATCAATAGAGGTCCTTTTTTCACCTATACAATTTGTAAGTTTATCAATAAAAAGTTGATTAAGGGCAACTAGAATAAAAACAGCTCTTAAATTCCACCCCTGGGAGTGAAAATTGCTGATTCAGCAAATTTTGCCTGATCTGTGGGTAATAATGTAAAAATTTACCTAGAAAGTAAAATTTGATTATTTTTTATGTAACTTGCAGTACATTTTTAATAATAAATGTTTGCTTTAACTTTTCGCAGTGTCTGACACATGTGCAACAACTGGAATTTGAGACGCGACATATTTTAGTTGTCTGTACGTCCTATAATTTTCACCGAAATAAGTAAAGTGCATAATTTTTTTTTTTTTCCACACAAGTACAGCTATACTAGTTTTCTTTAGGTTTAATTTGTAGTTCTGTGGTAACATGGCACCAGTGTGAGCTTTTTTGGAACCAGTAAGTGGTTTAGGGGTCCTTACTTATTCATTTAGCCCTCATATTTAGCTGAAATAGAGATAGTATTAGGGGTTTCTTTACATTGACAAGACAATTATTTGGACAAACAATGTGATTAAGATTGTATATCAGCAAGATTAAATAGTTTATTCATTTTCCATGCAAATATGATGAATTGTTTTGATTTTCTGACCCTGAAATAAACAATAAAGGTAAATTGATTATTTAAGGGGACATAATTTAACTTAATGCATACATGAGAAATAGACAAACAGTCATCTTAGAGATATATTCTAGTACATGTATTGTCAAAAAGACTTTAGAATAATAGTTAACTGCCATCTAAAGAATCTTGTTAAATTGCCTTCATGATCTGGAAATGCTTAAAGGAATGTAAGGCATGCTGTAAAATGTGGAATGGACTTTACTATCATTTTTCATGATTTGGTGCTTAAACTGTTTCTTTCAGTCAGATTAACTATAAATAGAGTTGGCAATCCAATAATTCCTCCTGAATCATCATGTTTTACTTCTGTGTTGATTTGAAACATCATATATTTGGGTTTTGTTCACTCCTTAAGTAAAAATGGCAGGATGAAAAAAAAGGTAAAATCTGCCAGCTGGGGTAGGGGTATAATCTTTAAATTTTTTGGGGTAAGGAATAAGTGCAGACTAGTATTCTTTATTGTAATATGTTTCCTAGTAAGAAGTCTATGCATCATAGGTGTTATGACTGGTTTCAAGTTTGTGATGTCTTGGTTAAGGTAGCACGGTAGTATTTGCATTCCGGAATTTAGGTTGCTCTTTTGTGTACCCTACCTAAGTCAATGTATTTGAACAGTGTGATTGGACAAAAAATACAGTATCAACTGAACATATTTTCCCAAACTGAGGGATGAATCAGGTGTAGAAAAATATGAAATAATTTTACATACAGGTGAAAATGAATTTTTGAGAATTTTTTTAAATTTTGTATTCACTGCATGATAAAAGACCTAAAAGCACTAGTGGCCTTAGGTTTTTAAAGATAGCAAAAAAAGTAAACGGTCATGATACATATTTAAATTCATTTCTGAAAATTATAATGAAAGTACTTCAGTAAACTGTGTATATAGAATTTTGGGCAGTGCTAGAAAGTGGTGAAAAGTTTAAAAAGGCTATCATTATCCCTTATGGGCCAGGAAATACTACCGTGCCACCTAAACTACCAACTACGACAATTATCATCGTAAAATTAAATTCTGTCTAAATAAACTATAGAATTTAAAATATCCGGCGCTTCAGCTGACTCAAAATCACTCACTAGACACAATTGCAAATTACGGCAAATAACGGCTATATAAATATCCGATGTCAAATACCATATTGATGTTATATAATTGTCCACAGGATACGGTCATTTTCTTCTCGAAACCACAATGTAAACTTACTATTTATACACAAATTACACAGATTGTAATAATAAATACAATTTCAGTTCCAAATTTTTCCTTCCACTTTCTATCTGCACTGAAGCGCCTTCTGAGATCAGATTACATGATCAGGGGAAGGAACTAAGTATTAGCATTTCTCCAATATAAAGTCAAAGAGTTATTCCGCTTTCTATAGTATCGCCAAGTTTGCCAAAAAATCATTTTTAATAAAAATTAGCATTTAACTGTCATTCTCGTTAACTTAATAAACAAGACAACACATATCAATCCTTAATCGGGCACACCTTCTAAAACACAACATATATTAGTATTTTGTTATCTACAATTTTGATAATGAATTTGAAAATACTTTGACATAGAAATTAATTGGAAGCGACAGCTCTTGTCTAAATTTTCAACTTTTATCAAGAGACAACTTCTGACAAACATTGATTTCGACATTTCTGAACTTGTCTGTAAAATATCCTTCTAAAATATCTTTTCCCCACAAAAAATATATATAAATAGATAAACAAGAAGACAGAACATCGGATAATGATAAAAATAAGCATTCAAGATATAGAACAATGAAGCGTTCATCTGCAAAGTATAGTGATAAAAAGTGTCATTATCAAGGCCATGAAATATAATCCAAATCGAACATATAATAATTAAGAGTTCCGTGTTTTTACGTGATCCTATGTCAGTGAACATTAAGGCAGGAATCTGGAGAACCACGTGATGAATATAAAATATCTGATTACTGTCAATTTTCATCACGTAAAAATTATTTGATATGGAAGAAAATTCCAGTGAATGGTTTTAATAGTCTTTGAATATTTAGTTTAAACTTAAGCGACGTATCTATCTAAATTGAATTGTTGGCAATAACCAGTCACAAAGGTACGGTAGAGCGGCAATTAAAAGAAATTATCAAGATATATTCTTAATAATCTGAATTATAACATTGGTCTTTTATAATTATTATTAAAAGTATTATAAGCAAGCATTACTTACTCTTATTACAGTATCGTCCATTCTCATAACCTGGTTTACATCCACTATTATCAACACATTCACCATTAAAACGATCACATGTACTTTCAATACAACCATCACAAGATTCAGAACAATCCAACCCAAATTTTCCTTTGCTGCATTCTGAAAAAGTGAATTATCAATACGTTTTGTTATCAGATGTAATATCCAAACACGCACAGTTCCGTATCATGAGCAATACTAACATCACTTACAGTAGCACAATATTTGCAGACGGTCAAACCAAGAATTAGAATTGACATTTGCTGCTTTTCCGATAAGCTCGTAGCATTTAGAGTTAGAGCAAAGAATAGTAGGCTAGGAGTCGGATTATTGTGTACGGCTAGACTGACATGACATGACATATCATGTTTTGAACAAGCACGAACAAAATACCGCCAAGCGTGTCGGCTAATACAACGTTGGGTTAATGTTCATATTGCATTAACATGTTATCGTCCAGATTATGATCTTAATTTGCCACTGGGCATTAAACATCAATCCCTCCTAGGCGCGAAATCGAAAACAACGATGAGTATTATGAGTGGATTGTTTAAGGGTAAAAACGTCGACGCAAAAGAGTTTCAGTATTTTTAGATACAAAAAGTAGGTTTGTTAGATTGATTAATTTTGTTTGAAATTCTTCTGGGGAACAGTGTTCTATGTAATTTCGCTAGACCGAGACGAATAAACGAAAATGGGTCGATTAAGTTAAAGGACAAGATTTTCGACTGCAACTGGAAAAAGAGGACATACTGTAGACAGTATCAGAGATTTCACCTTGCAATAGGTTGCTCCAAAAAATACTTCCCTTTTTTCTTCAGTAAGAACATGAATTCTGAAGTATACGCTTTTAATCAATTTATTGTTACCTCAACTGATATTGTACACACTATTGATTAGGAAACAGAAATCAAAAGTCAAAAGTAAAGTTAAAATATGGAGCAAATATAACTTTTTTAGTCTTATTTTTTCTTATATGCTTACTACATTTAATTTCAATAATAAGTAAAACGAACATATAAGGGAATTTGATCCTTGCGCTATCTTAGTTTGGATAGAATAATGTGCTCATGTTAAAATGTCTTTTTTTTTAGTGTTTAAGAAATTAAAGATAGGCCAATGGTTGTATGTCATTTTTGTAAAAAATGATTTTATCAAAACCCCCGTATAATCCCTACTCTATTTGTTGACTGTCCATTGCTTAGTTAGTGTATTTATCAAACAATTGCATATTTGCAGCTCCAACATTTTTAATTTTATATGCAGTATATAAACATTGTATTTTTTTCCTCTAATTCTAAACCAATTTATACTTTTCCCGACCAGTTGATTTTTTTTTATCATCAACGCTTGATCTTATTTCCGCATTGATAAATATTCATTTATGACGTCACATTTTTTGCTTTCTACTGAATTTTCTACAATGATTTGAACTAGTGGCTCAAAAGAGCCTGTGTCGCTCACCTTGGTCTATGTGCATATTCAACAAAGGACACTCTCCAACATTGTAGAAGAGAATAGAATTCATTAAAAAAAATCTCTGTTTTGTTGATCTTGTATTGCTGATCATTATTTTTTTATAGTTTCTCTCGTCATTAAAGGGCAATTACTCCAATAAGGAGTCTTCGGACGATTCCCTCCATATGTCTAAATTGTAGATCTTATATCGCTAATAATTTTTTTTTTGCTTATTAAAGTTTCTATCTATCTAATTATGATTTTTAAGATACATCGTATGAGGCAAAAACGCACAGAATTGGTAAAAATCGTCATCAAAGGGTAATAACTCTAATAAGGAGTTGACTGACGTTTTCGACCGCAAAACTTGTTTGTAGTTTGTTTTCCTGGTAATTTTTTCAGTTTAAAGTTTCTCTCTATCTATAATAGTTTTCAAGATTATAGGCAAAAAAGAAGAAACAAAATGGTAAATTTTGTCATTTAAGGGCAATAACTCAAATAAGAAGTCATCTGACAGTTTTGACATTAATAAACAATTGGTAGAGCTCAACATTCGGAACATTTTTGCTATGGTCGCATTTTCTCTATTTATAACTTTAAATAATATTAATATATATTTATTAATATCTATAACGGTTTTCAAAATAATAGACAGAACAACTTGCATTTTACCCCGTTGTTCTATTTTATGCCATGTCAGCCATCTTGGTTGGCACGCGTGGTCATCGGACACTTTTTTAAACTAGATACCCCAAAAATGATTGTGGCCAAGTTTGGTTAAATTTGACCCAGTAGTTTCAGAGGAGAAGATTTTTGTAAAAGTTAATGACGAATGACGACGACGACGGACGCCAAGTGATAAGAAAAGCTCACCATCTCTGATGAGGTTTAATAGAAAAAACACATTGTTTGGCAGTTTATCTGCATATCTTCTAAAAACCATCAGAGAAACAAATTACACCAACGAATCTCGTGTAATACGATATGTTTTCACTGTCGACAGTTAACGTTCAAATTTAAAAAAAAAAAGATTGGCAAGCTTTGCGTTTAAAAAATACAAAATTAACTATCTGGAATGGAGACATATATTCTCACGGTTGCTGTTGTGGTAGACTCTGTAATTTAGATACAATGAATAAGCGTTGATTCTTGAAAAGAAACCATGAGCCCGGAGGGCGAATGGTTCGTTTTTCATGAATCAACGCTTATCCATTGTATCTATAACTTAAACTATTGTGTTAATGTCTTTTCAAAATTAAAGCCTTTTCTTAATTAGAAGGTATTGTAAGTGAGTATAAATAACCCTGTTATCAGGTTCAACGATGCATTAATAAATATAAGATCACAACTAATTGGTTAGAAAAATGCAAATATAACACAACACGTCTGCCTTTAAATTATCAGGCATCTGAATATTATCTGTGTTTACAAAATAAGACATATTCGAACTTATTTCTAATAAAATTGAGAATGGAAATGGGGAATGTGTCAAAGAGACAACAACCTGACCAAACAGCATATATAAAAGTATATATAATAAGTATGTTACCGAAATTTCTAGCAAGAAGCCTAATTCTAGACACATCATGATTTACTCGCATAGGAATTTGCGAATAAACATTTGCAAAATTATGCAGTAAAACAGATGAAATCTTACTATATTTATAAAACAAAAATGGACAAATTGAATTTAGTCATTTTCGTTTCAAATATGTGAAATAGCCAATAATAATCCAAAAATAAACGGTAAAACTCGCTATTATTACAAAAATATCCACAATTACATACAAAATAAGAAAAAAACAGAAAAACTAAAGAATAGTGACAACAAAGAGAATACAGGGATCCGAACCTAAACCGACAAGTCCCTACCTTTAACTTGACTCTATAACTCATTGATCTTAACCATGCTAACCTCGCGGCTACCAACTTATACTAAACGATTGCCTTTTATGTAAATATAAAGGTACAAGCCCTGTGTGTCCGTTGTACCGATGTATATCATATGTTCATTTATATCAATAAAAAATAGACATTTAAATTGTAACCAATTAGTAGCCGAGAAGTTTCGTCGATATGTTGATGTCAGTCACACATAACAGATTTCAAGGACGGGTTCGATTCCCAGTGAAGGCATATAAAAATTACAAAAACTAAGGGCAAGTTTTTAAATTATTTCCATTAGTGAACAGAAATCAGTAAATTAGCTAATTCAAACTTAATGAAAGAGGGACGAACGATACCAGAGGGACAGTTAAACTCATAGATCGAAAACAAACTGACAACGCCATGACCAAAAATAAAAAGACAAACAGACAAATAATAGTACAGATGACACAACATAGACAACCAAAGACTAAGCAACACGAACCCCACCAAAAACTGGGGGTGATCTCAGGTGCTCCGGAAGGGTAAGCAGATCCTGCTCCACATGTTGCACCCTAGACACAAAAAGGAAACAATTAAATATAATTTGGTGAATCCATTTCAGCCACAGATTTAGAAAGCGTTTATTCTAGAAAAAGAATCCACGGTAAATGAATAGGCTGACGTCACGACAATGGTTTAAATATTTTTTTCTTTCTTCCCTGATTTATTATTTTCCCGACCGGTTGATTATTTTTCTTTAATTCAATGTCACGCCAAAGGGCGATCATATCTGATGACATCACATCTAAAGAGCCTATTTTTTAGCAGAAAATAAAGTTTTTCTACACACAGTTAGATCATAATTAGAGAAGGAGATTTAGATTGTCTCGAGAAGAGAAATATATATTATCACAATCGATATGATAATTCTTATTCTTAATCAGATTGAAACATTATGAGAAAAAAATGTCGCCGTTACAAAAACTAACAAATAAAACTCATTTTTTTGTACTTGATCTGAAGGACGTTATCAATCATTGTGTTCACAAGAGCCGAAATGCTTTGTGTAAAATTAATTACAGATGTTTCTATGCAAATAAACTCCTCGAGTACACTGGTACCAACATCTACTTAATATCCTTTCTATTAAATGTATACGTTTTATCAACATACCAACTTCCATTATAAATGTATCGAGCAATATAGTAAAATAACTCATCGTCTTAATGATTTAGAAACGAAAGATTGGGAAAACAACTTGATTTGAATTTTGACCGTGACTTAAAACTATTTGTTTGAAAACTACAATCTTTCCACCAAACTTGTTGAGTCTCTCTTAATTACGAATCAAGATAACCACTTGTAGTCCTTGGGCTGTTAAGAATATCGCCTAATTTTTAGAAGAAATACTTCATATTAAAACAAAGAAATTAAAAAAAAAAAAAAAAAAAATCCTCTTAAAATAGATATTTTGTAACCATGTTCTTATTTGATTAGTTTTTAATTTTGTTTTCCGTTTCAAAAGACTAAAATAAAGATAAGTAGATCTTAACAAATAATTGTAATCAGATTTAAGGAAATGTCATGTTATAATATATAAATATTTTTCTTCCCAAAAAGATCTAGAGGCGAAAGAAACAAAGGGATATGCAAACCCCAACGTGTTGTATTTATCCACAGTTAAACATGTTATAACGAACCTGTTGTGCAGTTAAATCCTTTCCATCCGTTGGTACATCTTTCGCATTCTCCTGTTACATGATTACAAGGATCCGATATACAATTTGCCGAACACTTTCTTAGACAATTTCCCCCGAACGTACCATCTCTACAAGCTGTGGAAAATACATATCTCTCTAATTCCTAAGTACATGTAATTATTTACTTTCTACTAAGAAAGTATCAAACACACTGACTGAAAAACAAACATTAAATACAGATGATGTGTTGAGCTGGTAATATTTTTATAGAGAACGAGATAGTGAGAAATTGTACGTGGTAAAATTACTTGCTACCTGATACACCTTATTTGTAACAAATGAAACTCCCTCAAAACAAGGAATACCAAAAATGCTGCATGAATATTCATAATATTTTGTATTGAAACAATTTGTTATCAGACTTATAATGTTGTTTGACTGTAATAGAGACAACTATCAACCACATCAAGTTGAACTAATCACTTTAAATCATCGAACGGTCTTCAACAATGAGAAACCAAACATCATATATAAAGCTATAGAAGACTCCGATCGATGAGACAAAATGTTAAACAAAACAATTCAAACAAGAAAAACCAACAGCATGACATTAGTAAACATATAGCACTTAGAAAGGATCATTTTGACCTTGCGCACGATGTTGGTACCAATTCCATTTTGCTATAGATTAGCATAAAAATAAATACGTAGACTGGTCAGTTCGATAAAAATATAGTGATTTCTGATTGAATTCATTCCATTAGACTTGAAATTAAAGAAAAAAAGGAACCGAAATTTAAAATACCAGGAATTATAACACTTAATTATCCCATTTTTACGCAAAAACGTAATGTCCAACGTTTCATTTTGTGTGCAAAAGATCAAAGTTCCGTTTCTCTCCTACGGTATTTTTTCTCTGATCATCGTAAAACTTCACAATAATATTGCTATTGTTATAATTATTCGCGTGTTAAAGCAAAATCAATATCACTGAAACCGTAATCCGGAAAATGTTATTTTTGTAAACGGTCTGAAAAATGTCCAACCGTATGCAAAGTAAGTATATTTCGGGTTTGCGCATTTATACCGTGAAATGGAAAAAGCTGAGAGAAAAAATACTTATTATATTTTAAAAGTTTTTTTACTTTTCTCATGGTTCATGATATTTTTTTGCCGGAAACCATGCGTATAGTTTCTATTGTAATGACTTCAAAATGTATAGCCATCTTGTCCCAACGAAAAAAACGCTGTATTTTCTTTAAAATTGAGGTTTTAACCAGCTGTCTATCAAATAAGCATAGTTAGATTATAAAAAATAAAACTTGGCGGTAAAGGTTTTTCTGTTTTTCTTCTAAAACAATATAGTGTTTAATATTTTTTCGTTAGGCAACAAGGTTTTTAGATCGTTTCAAAAAGTAAAGCCGTTTCGTCCCAACGTTCGCAAAACGTAATTGATGTCATGCTCTGATTTTTAATTTTATATCGTAATTATTTGTTTCCAGTTTAATTCGAATGAAAATAAAAATACATGTATAAATTACAATACAACCAATGTATGAGAAAGGAATAGTTTAAGTTTAAATTCAAATGTTGACCAAATGAGATCGATATAAAAAAAGTATCGGGATCTTAGTGTTTTTTTTTTATAGCATATTTGTTTTATATAAGGAACATTGTCTATCTGCAAGTTTTAAATCGTCAAAAGTAACATGTATATTTTTTTTGGTTAATAAAATAAAATAGAGAAAACCCATTGCTGGTAATTATAACAAACAAAGGATATGCCACAAATATACGGGAATGAGAAAATTTAAAACATGAGTCCCAAATGTTTAACTTCCTAAATATTTTGCGACAAAGAAAGCATCGGGAAATGATAAAATATAGAAAGGAAACGGAAACGGGAAGAAATGCAACAAAAGGAATAAATATGCAAAAAATAGGAAAATATGAATTCAAAATCTAATTTATATTAAAAATAAATCTGTGTAAATTTGGACATTATTGTATCAGATTCATTAATGCGAACTGCTGCCGAAAGGAAAATTATCAATTATGGCCTGGAAAGACTGACAACTCCTGTAAATGAAATTCATTAAAAAAATATCTATACGACCACTTTGAGTTTTATTTGTAAATTTATGCATTTTTTCAGACAAACCGAAATCGGTTACCAAATTCACAACAGTAAATTGACATCATCAATAATATGCTTGAACGCCTGAAACTTTCTTTGAAATCGTCGAAATCGCCTTATTTTGAGGAACGTCGTGAAACGCTAAGTAGTACCAACATCGTGCGCAACGTCTTTGCTCTTTACATTATCTTCAATGTCTGAACAAAAACAAATAATTTAGTCATGTTCAGTCTTTCAGTCAATTATCTGTTTAATGATTTTTGTGGATTCCGTACGGTTAAGATAATTCACTTGCAGCCAATTCAGTACGGTTCAAAGAGCTTCTTTTAACAATTCAGTATGTTGTTTTATTTGTACTGGTGAATAACAACTACTGATTCATAACAGTTTTAACATTGACTGAACAGATTTTAATAGCAAGCGAGTTGTCTGAACAGTACTGATTTCCTGCAGTGGACAAGCCTCAAAAATTGACCGAAAAAATACAAATGACTTAAGTGCTTGTTTCACATAAAAACATGCAATATTGTAAAAATTGTCCAGAAGGGTGGTTTGAAATTTTCCTCCTGAGGTTGATTTTTTCAGTTCTTATATGTTTAAACCTAAATTGCATATTTCAATGCGAAAGGCCGGAAATACCATCATAAGTTGGTTTAGCTTTAGACATCTAAAACCCATAAATGCCATTTCCACCTAATTTTGGGTTTATAATGAGAATTCCATTATCAGCCTTTTATGTACATGATGCCTATATTTATATATTTCATTTTTACGTTAAGTCTGATTCCCTTGTTCTGCTTAAATGTAGAAAATAATTGAATTAATTATCTTTTGTAGCAAATTTTGTTCTTGGTTATATAAAATATAAAAAACCCACTGATGGCAAATTGTTTAAAATACCTTAAAATTTCAGTTAAAATACATCCTAACACCCATCCTCGCCTCCTTTCTTTTTGTTAAGTATTTCGAAATTACTCGATAATTATTAATTTAAAACCTTAAAAAATATTAGATTGCTAAAATATTAATTTGCAAAATCAAACATGCTAGTAAATAAGAAGAATCAAAATAAAATGATATTTTTACACGTCTTATAGAAATAACACATATGTGCATCAAGTGTTAATTCCCCTGAATCAGGTCTCCAATTATAAAGTACAGAAAGGTTATTTCAATAATGACAACAGCAGACCAAAATGAGCAATCCTTGTAACTTTTCAAAATTGAGTAACACAGAATGTTCTGGTGGTCCTTCAATCCAACCCTTCTACTGTGAGAAGGGCACAAACCCACATTTGTCGCTTTTGCGGTGCTCAAAGAAAATACAAGATAAGTGTATGCAGTTTTATAACATCCTTGAAGCCTTTCTGATATTATATGGAACTGGGATATTCTCCATTGACAGTACAGAATTGAATTTAATTATTTGTAAATCACATAGAGATTATTTTGTTATTCAAAGGAGAAAGAAACAAATCCGTTGCATTTATCAGGGTCGTTGCGTGAAGAGTAAATCGAATGCAGATCGAGGAGCTTGTCCTAGTCTTTGTAAACAGTATTGGTAAAAGACAAGACAGATACTTCCAGTAGGGGTAGGTAATCTTATATTTTCATCTCATTCTGAAGTAGGGGTTAGCCTACAGTATGCTTTAAACTCGGGATCTGACTAACCTCAGGACTGTAACTACATGTAAACATCATACAACATCATTCATGTACACAGTCATTACAATGAAGCTTTTGTATGATGACGAGTGATTTCAAGTGTTTTAATCAGCTTCTATGCCTCAGCTGGCCGGGCCTAAAGGACCAAGTTAATTCCAAGATATACTCCTAAAATGGGGACTGTCAAAAAGGCATAACTTGAGGACTCTCCAATTTATTTACTTAATGTTCTTCATTCCCTATATTAGGTTTGGACCAATCTTCCACATGGGTTGCAGTAACCCATTTTGGATATGATTGCCCAAATAGGATATTTAAATTTACTGTGCTAAAAATCTTAATATTTGAATTAAGCACAAATATTGAAAGTGCATTTGTCTAGATCAATAGAAGCAACTTTTGAATTTTTTTTCTCCTCCAGAAAATGAATAAATTGCTTGTTTGATCCCAATAAAATATAGCATTTTCCAAGAATTTAAACATTAACATGTTGGAAATACATATAAACATACATCATTGAAAGTGAAAATTTGTATCGGATATTTCCCATTTCTAAATTTAAATTTCATTATACAATGAATCTGCAAAATATATGATCTTTAAATCACTAGTTTAGCAAACGCAAGCAGTTTGGTACACAATTTAACTTTCTATCTCAATAGATTGATGTTTAACATGTTTAAAGTATATAAAACATTAAAAAGTGGTATTTAATTATCCCAATTAAAAATTTAAGAAACCAGATTTTTTATGTATAATATGACATGTCCACTGAAATATCTGACAATTCGACTTAAATGTGCATGTATATATCATTATGCATCGACCTTAATATTTGACATGTCCACTCAAATATAACAAGTGTTGAAAAGTATTTTATTTTTCTACCTATTATCTTAATCCACTATGATGTTATAACTACAAGTCACCCTTAAAGACTTCAACAATTACAATTATACCAATACTGTATTAAAGTCACCTATAAAGGCCTGTGTATGACACCTATAATGTAAGGCATTTCAAAACAGGTTTGGCAAAAACCTGGGTTTTATCAATATTGTCCAGGTTTTACTGGGTAATAATAGGCACTACTTGGTAATATTCAATATTGGTAATAATTTTTAAAAATTATATAAATTCATAAAAGTATAAGTCCAGTAACTCTTAGGACAGCAAGAACACACATTTAGACAAATGTTTATTTTTTCAATAAGAGTATGAGAATTTAGAAAATCCTCCTAAAATTTATTAAATTGGTTTGACTGTTGATATGTAAAAAAAAATTGTTTATTAAATGTTTTCTACAAATAACTTAGATTTAGGAAAAACAATG